TGGGCGGAGACGAGGGCCTCCCCTTCTGGCCAGAGCTGCGCCGCCTGCTCCACCAGCTGCCCGACGGTGAGCGGCTTCAGGGCCTCCGAGCCCGGCTGGTGCCAGTAGCTGACACGAGGGGCGCCGCCGTCGCCGCCGCCGCCGCTGCTGCGCCATCTGCGACATTCGACGGCAACGAACATTAAAATACCACCAGCGGCGGTTCCTCAGAGAAGGGAGGTTATCCTCCGCACACACTTTCTTCTTTTGAATGTAATTACCAAGTACAATATTTTCTTTGATGGAAGGGGGTAAGATGTATATTTTTTTATTGTCATCGGAGTCTTTGATCGAGATCTTAAACTGCGCGTGCTTTTTAAGCGACACAAAAACTCGAAATCGCTTTGAGGCGGAATTCTCAGCGTTCCTTCTCTCGTGGAGTAATAATAAGAAATAGCACTGCGGTGGCAAGAACGGGAAACGTTTTGTAATGCAGCTATATGGCATGAAGGGAGGAGATCCTCCTGTAGACTGCCACTTATTGGCAGCTATTGGAATTAAATGAACATTCGGCGCCTGCTGGGCACGCACACGCGCATGAATCGTGGGCCAGGACGTAGGAAGAATCACGTTGTAATATCACCTCACACCCGTGGCAACACCGTGGGCGGGCGGAAACCTGGGTGATTGGGTAAATCGAGTCGATACGTCTCCCTCTCCTTTTTTCCAATCCCAAGGCGATGAACAGTGCCATAAATAAACAAAGCATTTTGATATTCAGTCTGTGAAGGGAGCTTGCCAAGAGAAAGTGTATTTTTTTGTTGTTATTGAAGGTCGCATCAACATCTAGGACATTAGCGACCACTATTGCTTGTAACGGTGTGGTAACAGTGCGGATGACACGATATGATGACAGGGGGTGAAAGGACGAACACAATACAACCATGCCCGAAACGGGACTCGAACCCGCGATCCTTCGGTCCGAGATCACTACGGCACTACTGCCTTAGCGATCTCGGCCACCGGATCGGCGAAGCATATTGTTCTTGCGCCCCTTCACAACTTTATTCGTGTGATAACTGAGACAGCCGTGCTGTACTGTTCTGACCTTTTGTTACATTTTTTCATGTAAAAATAAGAGAGAGTTTTTTTTATATTTTTGACCGTTTAAAAGAACAGATTGCTTCCATACAGAAAGGACATCCGACTCCCCACCGGATCTTTTACGCGGCACCAGCAAGGGAGGGCAGCTGATGATTTCTACGTATGTGTTGTGATAAAGGGTACTGGTTAATCGGATTCGAACAGATATTCTCCTGTATTTTTCATGTGTTCTAGTTTCATATTCGAGGGATGTCTGGTCTTGTCTGGTTTCAGAGTCACTAAAAATGTAGGTCATGGAATTCAGAGGCACGAAAACTCAAGGGTCCGTCTTAATTGTTCGCTAAAATTAACACTGTTCGGTAAAAGCGAGTATCAGATAGATCTAGCATTGGGAGCTACTAGCTGAGTCTGCAAGTAACGATATCGCAAAGGGAATGAATTTAGTTTACATCTGCATTTAATTTAATTTGTTGTATTTTTGTTTAACGTTATATTATTGAAGTACAATGAACATAATTGCATGACTTCTTTCTTCCTCTTAAGAATCCTACACGAGCCGCACTGAATACCACAGTGGCACAGTACAATCGATCACATTATAGTTTGAGTAAAGACCACGTCTTTCTTAGCTGCGTATCAAGTACACCTTCAAACACTGCAAACAAAACACTTCATCACACTTCATGATCAATTACTGTTTGACGGCATGTACGCTGGGGTAACAAAAATCCTGGGATAGCAATACGCAGATATACAAATGACAGTAGTATAGCGTAGAAAAGTTATATAAGGGCAGTGCATTGGCCGAGATCTCATTTGTATGCAACTGATTCAAGTGAAATGATTTCTGACGTGATTAAGGCCACACGACAAGGGAAATAACAGACTTTCAACGTGGAATAGTATGTGGAGCTAGAAGCATCGGATATTCCAATTAGGAAATCGTTAAGGAATTCAAAATCTTTGAGAACCACAGTGTCACGAGTATACGTAATTTCAGGCATAACCTGGTGGTCGACGTCCTTCACTTAATGACCGAGAGCAGCGGCGTGTTCGAGGAGTTATCAGTAATAACAGATAAGCGACACTGCAGAAATCAGTGTAGCACACACGACGAACGTATCCATTAGGACAAATTTAGCTTTAATGGACGAAATTTGGCTTTAACTTTGCCAGGCAAAAGGGGGTCCGACACGATATTAGGAGGTGTCTAATTACTTCTGTCACCTCAATGTACACTGCGGCATATTCCAGAGAATTCTCCAAATGTATACTGTTCTTTTCGACGTACTGTCTTTGCTATTTCAGATGAGTGGCATTTAGATCGCTCTGCTTCCCCTTCGGGTACAATTCGGAGTGTTTGCTATAAATCTTGTAATTTTGAAGCTCCATCCTAGGTTGAATTTCTTCCTTTCATGTTAACATTGACACTTACATTGACTGTCGGAAATACCTGGATGGGAAGCAAACCTGTAGATCGGCACCGGATATCGAGGTCTAGAGGAAAAAGAGGAGGACAGCCACCTGCCTGGGAATAGCATTTACTACAGTATCGGGACCAATGACCATAGCCGTTCACGCTCCCAGAAAACAAAATAATCAATCAGTTGCATCCTGCCCAGTGTAATGCAAGCGGGAATGTGGGCGTTACGAACGACCTTTGACCTCTCATCCTCTCTTCCTCTCCTCCCCTCTACCCCTCCTCGCTCAGCCGCAACAGAATGTTCGCTCGGGTTGTTATCGCAGTTGACGCGAGGTCGCCAACCTCGTGAAAATGTGAGCATCTTCTGACGCCTTCTGACCTTCTCAGTCCCGTTGCCTTCTTTATTGTTGTTGTTTCTGGCGCCTATCAAACAATACGTTTCCTTTTAGAGGGAAAATAGTTATCACAGTTTTGATGAATTCGAAAGTGGGGGTGGAAGTGTTAAAGTTCTCAAAAAATGAGCGTTCTCGCGTTATTTTCAATCAGCCAATCTATTTATTATGGCATTGTTTAGTATATTAAACAAAGGTAATTGTATTGTTATTTCCATTTTGTGTATATATTATAAAATTTGTTATCTTTATATCCTTCTTAACACAAACCGTATAATTCATTAACAGTAATTTGTTAGAAATGTTTGCCCTCACTTTTTACAAATTGTTTGTATGTCACGATTATCGTAATGCAGATTCACCTTCTAACCTATTAAAATCCCAAATAAGGAATTGAAAAGTTTTCAAAAATAATTTAACTATCTGTGTAAAACGGTCATTTTTTAAGGATAATCTCGAATAAATAAAAATGGAATGTGTCTGTAATTTAAAAACAAAATTCTTTTGCACACTCGTATGCTTACTTGTATTTAGATATAAAAATAATTTCGATTTTTTTATATCTAAATAAGATCGATCTATCTACGAAGGTATGTTTTCCGGGACATTCTCGAGAGGGCAAGAACCGATTTCAATGGGGATTTCACTGAAAGGTAGTGTTTTGTCGAAGATAACTAGGGCAATTTTTTCAAATTATTATTTTTTCTTGGGTGAAAAATAATTATTTTTTTCCTAATCAATACTTTTATTCCGCTCTTAATATCATTTGGTTCACATAACCAAAAACAAGACAAAAGTTGTCTGCATGAGATTTTGTAAAAATTACCGCTATTCGCTTTTCTGTCTTCTAAACAAAATTTAAGTGTGCACTCTTTCAGTTTTCTGCGAATATTTTGAAAACGAGAACTTTTTTCCCCTTGGGCTTTCATCCTGCCGACTGTCGGTTACCCTTTACGTCTGGATGGGACGCATATTCGACCATACACTAGACACCAACACACTTGAGGGCTCCTCTGATCTGGGGTCAGCAAAACGCGAGGGCCTCCACGACAACACATACATGAGAGACAAGAAGAGATAATCATGCCCAAGGCGGGACACGAACCCGTAACCCTTCGGGACGAAGCACTGAATCGGAACAGCCATATCGGTCATCCAGATCGGCCGATAAGTTAATAGATGAAAGTATATTCAAAGCTTAAGTCTTTCTTACAATTTCCTTCTGAAAGCATTTCGATTCATTTCGGTAGCTTTGAGAAATTAAAGGTAAAAATTGTTACTGAGAGTTTGTCGGGAGTACGCAACAATACATCTCAAAGACTGATTCATTAGTGATTTCGAGCGCGTCAAGGGCTAAGGTTATTATGCTCGTAAGCACAGTGCATGATTTTATCGCGGGTGGTCGAAGTTATCTTCCCCCACTACATGTCGAGATTCAGCGCCGACCTTCCCATCAACTTGCGGAGTTTTCCCCAACCAAGTACCTGCCACCAGAGGGGCACCGCTCCAGCTGGGACAAGAATTTAACTCCCGACTGATCTCCAAATATGTGTTGTAGAGTAGTGCATGGAAGTGTAAGTGAGGGGAAGGATAGGACATGGAAGAGGAAGGAAAGATCGCGCGCGGTCCGCGGCCCCTTTGTTAAGGTACTGCTCCGGCATTCACCTGGTATTAATCGGAGAAACACGAAAAACAACTGACCAGAGCAGTCGGCTGCTAGAATTCTCCTTGAGACAGCAACTGAATTCGATCTCGCTGACAAGGAGGTGACGAAAATCCTGCCACCGTCGAACTTGGGACCTCCCTCTCAAAGGCACTGCAGTGACATCAGTAGATGCCCTGAGCCACCTCATGACATTAACTGATTCCCTAAGGCGTGCTATAGAAGCACAGTATTATTTCGCTTTGTTTCACACAAAGACGGTTCCCTTAACGTTTACTTGCAAATTCGTATCTGAAATATTCCATATTGATATATAAAAATACTAAAATGTAACAAAATATTTAAGAAATTGCATTAATAGGCAAAACATGAAAAAAAAACCTGTAATTATAGGCGCCAAGTAAAATAAAAATTGTTTTAATTCATTCACAATGTCATGGAAACTAAAAAATTATTGCATATGATATATGTATCGTGCACTTATAAAAATATGTATTTACACAAATATCCGTTCCGTATTAATGAATTAGCACTGGTTATTATAACTGGTTTGATTTTATTGTGACCATTTTTATGTTTTTTATAGTTGTGTCAAACTAGCTCAACTACATAAATTTAGTAAATGTTAACAGTAAAAAAAATATTTTGAGGGTAGAAAATTATTATTATAATTAATTATTACAACTAATTAATTAAAAAAATTAATTAGTTGTAGTAAATTACAATTAACCTATATATATATATATATATA